ACACACACACACACACACACACACACACACACACACACACACACACAACATGTTATCACCAGAGGAGGAAAAAACACATTAAACAATTACATCTGGCATTTGTGTTAATAGACAATCTAGAGAAGGTTTTTAAAATATTGGCAGTAAAAAAAGAAAGAAAAAGGACAAAAAAACTGGAATTATCTAACTTCAACATGTTAAAAAAAGAAAAGATTCAACTTGTCAAAACAGACCTAAGTGATAATTTAGATATGTTTTATTGTGATAATAGCTACTAAAAGCCAAGTATTACTGAATAATATAGACAAAATTCACCTGTCATGGTAAATCCACCGACAAATAATCCAATGTCTCTCCCTCCGACCATGATGGTTTCGCTGCGGTCGGTGCCCTCCGCCTCCCCGGAGTGTTTGTTCTTCCATGCCGCCCAGATGCCCACGAACAGGATCAGTAGATAGAAGATCGCGATAGCCACAAGCCCCTCTACATGGATGGTCATTGTCGCACCGGTCTTCCGCTAGGAACGGGAGGGCATGGAGACCTGCTTGGCGCACGGAGGAGCGAGGATCAGATATTAAGTACAATGAGCATAAAGAACAATAATTTGGCATTTAGTTTTCTGCAACATTTGACCTTTTTGGTTCGTGTGAAATCCATAGAAAGTTTACATTTTTGCAGGTTTTAGTCGGATTCGAGGGTCAACTGAACAAACACGTATTGACTTGTTGAAACAGAATATTAGAATAAGAATAGTTCAAAAGACAGAATTCCCTCTGCTGATTAACTTGATTTCATGCGCGCTTGTGGCCCGGAATGCTGTCTTTTCCAGGAATTTGACCTTCAACGCAGTGTAGGTCATTTGTGGTGCTCGTCAATCTACATCAACACAATAAGTAAAGTAAAAATGTATCGTAAAGACTCGATTTTACTCGTTTTCGATTCCTTCAGGCAAAGACTCAAATACAGTTCAGCTACATTAGATACATCCTACATATATAAATTCACACAAATGTGATATTATTCCAATATAAATGGATCAAACAAATATGTGAGAAATGTTGTAAAAATAATCACAATGTGTCTTCTATTTCGTGTCTGTGCTTTTGGATCAAACATGTTTTCTCTTCTCCATCTCCTTCTACCCGGAAACATGCGCGTAAAATTAAAATTACGCACAGCATTCGCTACAGAAATATAACCAGGCCAAGTTCGAGACAGCCGTATTCAAATTATATTGTAGATAATGATCTGTCATCTAAAGATTCCCACTTTGGCCGTGCTTAAATTAATAAGAAATTGTCATTTTTAAATACTATTTGATAAACAAGCCTAAACAGTTTACAAAAGCTTGAAAAACGAATTCAAAACTTACCTCAAGTATTTCAAGAGTCATGTGATGGGGCACCTGATGCAGAAAACAGCGAGCAGAACTATTAAGAGCCTCGGAACAGTTAAATGAATCGTTGGTGGAGGACTCCCGGGTGACTTACTGAGGCTTATAAGGGAGCATGTGCCGTCAGACGACTGATACACACGTCAGAGAAACCAAACGTCCCTCTTAATGAGCACCTTGCAATAGAACCACGTCACAGTGTACTGGCCGATCTGACTGGACGAGGGTGGGAGAGATCCCTTTGCTCAATAACAGGGGATTGCTTTTTTTTTTTTTAAACCACTGAATGACAAGACATGAATTTTAATGCTGCATTTTTACACATTAAATAATCAATATTTTGTGGATGAGCAGATGGAATGTGCTTCATACTTAATGTGGCTCATGCTCCTTGAAACTCTGTGCGTAACAGCCGCTTAATTGCGCAGCCATACTTCATGTGGCCTTTTATCCGCTGTCACTCGCTCCTCAGCCGGCATTTTACCTTACAACCGCAATTAACTTTGCTCCACAGGAACAGTTTTTTTTTTTGGCGCGACTGAGGAGGATGAGAAACCGCTCTGAAGCCCTCTTTGCTTTGCACAGAAGAAAACTGTGGATCGGTACATTTATCTAAAAAATAATTACTTAAATCGTATATTCGTCAAGTGGATTTTGCAGCAATTCGACCGAATTCAAGCTCGTTAATCTTCAATACCTTCTTAAGTCCATTCTTTCTCCTGATTTTAGGCCTAGTGTGGCAGAATTCGTATAAATGCTCTCCATCTTTTATCAATTAGAAATCAATTAAGTATACTATTCCTGTCACTTTCCCTTCATCAATGAACTGTGTCTACTTAATGGCCGTCTCTGCCTTGAGTCGTTTAATGTGCTGCTCTTGTCAAAACTGACAGACATCCAATTAGGATGGATCCTGAAGAGCAGTAGGAGAGATTTAATGATACAGCGAGTCTCACTTAAAAAAAACTGTGGTGCACGCACGCACGCGCGCACACATGCGGATGCGGACACGGACACACACACACACACACACACACACACACAGAAACACTCGTCTCGTCTGTAAAGAAAAGCAGATTGAATCACTCTGTGAACCAAATCTGCTCGACTAAATAAAGGTCTTTATTCTTTTGTTGCTCGGCCTGGCAGGTGTTTTCCTTTCCGTTCTAATATTGTGTCTTGTTAATTTAGGTAACAATAATGAAAACGTTATTTGATTCAGCTTAAAAGGCTCAAAAGCATTGTAGATTCTTTTGTGGGGCATTCAAACAAACAAATAGCATAACAAATAAAAACAAATTTCTTTTTTAACATTGATTTGAATGTGATTTTGCTTGACGTCTGACAAGTGATTCTGTGCGATACCGGTGCCAAAATCCAAAACTTCCGGAAGACAGCTGGTTTCTAACTGCATGTTTGACAGATGGCTGCCACATGACCGGGACACTCTGGCGTTTGTAGCTCAATGATGCTAAATACATACACATGCCAACATAAAGATATAACATGACACACAATTTACAACCTGCTGCAAAGAAGCACAACAGAAATCCTCTTGTATAACTTGTAAAAATGAATGCTTATGTTTTAACCAAATAACTTCTGCAGGGCTCAAGGGGTGGAGGTTTAATGAGCAGCTGTTGCTGGCAGCGCTCAAGATGTTAGTAAGAGAGCACAAGAGACACAGAGAAAGGTGCCACCAAAGTGACATTACTTCTAAAATCATGAAACAATATTCATTCTCCAGCATTTATTCTTTAAAAAATAAACACATACAATGTAATAAACAAAATACATACAGCTCATTTGATAATAATCTACAACATCTCTGATGCTCAATGGGTCTAAATGTTTTAAAATCTTCACTTGTATATTTTGAAATATACAATGTATTTCAAAATCAATGTGTCCTGAAAGCCATCATGAGTTGAATTTGAATATTTTGGACCTTGGCGTCCCCCTGTGGTAGTCTAAACAGGGATACTGATATGTGTGGGTGGGCGGTCGGGGGTGTTTGTAGTTTCTGCAATTTGTGATACTAAAAATAAGGTTTACAGATGAGACAGTTATGGACACGATACCACAGAATATATCAAATAAAATATTATTATTTTAGATCATACATTTACGTCAGTTGTTCCTTCTTGCATTGAAATGACCCCAAAACAGGGAAACACCTCTCACTTGCTATACACACTCTGATCTGTACAGATTCTTTTTGAATGCAAGCTTTCAGTCAGAGACTACAGAAGAAGATCAAAGGCTTGCCTTAAAAACTGTGTGCAGAGTGAGCAGAGGATTTTTCTTTTTAGCGGTCTGCCTTTGAATCACTGAAGTACAGAGTCAAATGTAGGACGCAGTTTGTTGGATTACATTTGTTTTCGTTTGAGCACTGAAATAAGGCAAAGATAAAAACACTGGTTATGAAATAGCTTTGTAAAGACTAGTTTTGAGTTTTAAGCAAACTAATTTACTTCATGACAAAAAAGCTTAGCCACAAGTTACAATATGCCCAACAAAATCTACAGGGTCCTGGAAAACATTTAATCCTAATCATTCAGCAAACATGAGCAGAGAAGCATGAACTATTAGCTGCAGCAAAAGTATAGCAAATCTTGATTTTAATGCGACAGTGAGATGGCCCAATATTCAAGTTTGAAAAAGGCGATGTGCACTGGAATGCATGAACATTTTGGTATCGTCGAACTGTTGTGAAACTTCAAACAAAACACAAATAATAATGTATCTACAGAGGCCCTGAGAGACCGAAGGAAAAAAGAAAAGAAATGGAGCATTTGGCATTAACCTTAACATTAACCTTATTTAGGTTGTTTTATATGTAGTAGCCCATTACAAACAGACTGACGTACCGTAACTTATTACAAAAGCATTTTTAGATTGATATCTGATGCATGGAGGCTTGAGGCTGTCACCTGCTCTCAAGCAGTGGCCATAAAATTGCAGATGAGAGCATTTATCCTCCGCTGTAAGTGTGCAGTGGAAACGCATATGATCACAACACACAAGGCCGAACATATCTAACGGTGAGCAAAATACCTCACTGGTATAATGTGGTGCTAGTCTGAATCAATCAGCTGTGAAACATGTTTTCTCTTCAGCGAAGCTGGCATATACCATTTGTCGGACACAGGACAGTTGAGGGGCTAAAACACACAAAATAAAACACCCAACAACACATCTTTTCTAAAAGACATCCTGAGCATTCATGCTCCCTAAAATGAAGACAGCAACAATCACAATAATTTACATAAATCCAGCTCATGATTCTTGTGAGCCGGTTACACAAAGATATTGAGAAATGGAAGGGATAAATATCAAACATTTTTTAACATTTTTCTGCCCCTGTGGACAGCTGTATTCAGCTGTAAGTTACTACTGGTACCAGGAGGAACAAATCATGTACTCGTTTTTCCGAATGAAACCACACTCCACCAGGAACCATCTAAACACCAGAGTAAAAACTATCCCATGGTACCTCTGAAAACAGGGTCCACCCGTCTTACATAAAAGACTTCTATGGAGGCTGCTTCTTCCGGCGCGTCCATCCTCATGCCCTCACGTTCTCATTGTTTTGATTTGATCTGGAAAAATGTGAGAAATGCTTTTAATCCGCTAAATATAGAGCACAATATGTATAAAAAAAAAAAAAAAAAAAAAAAAAAAAAACTATATAAAGTTATTATTTCATTTCAAGTTTTCTATAGATATTGCGATAATATGAACGTGGATTCTTTCGGCCATAATAATAATCATGTAGTGTACTGTTCATAATAGCCTTGTGGTTCACCCAGCTACTTCAGGACTAAAGTCCGAATAACAAAGTAAACATGGTAAGGACATACATTCTAAATACATTCTTTTACAGCTATACAAGGACACAAGAAATAACACAACACTTATAAAACACACAGTACTCACTGCATAATTTGATCTGTGGAAGGATTTGAATGAGGGCGTTAAACATAATAAAAAGAAAAGAAAATGATGTTGAGGTCGTGGAACAGACTACACTTTGCTTCTGATCTTTCAGGCAGATATACATTAAAACAAACTTTACTGTAATGTGGAGGAAAAACAAAGACATATTCAAATGGTACACATTAGTAGGATTAACTGGTTTGTTACTGCTTGAAATGAGGATGAAAAATAATCAAATTTGTAAAAGGAAACAAAGTAAAAGCTATACAGAACACAATAAAACAAATTTAACATTTTTTGTTTATCTAAAAATGACACGTACATAAAATATTGTGTAACTTGCCATCATTATATCCAAGTAAAATGCAAATGCTAACTCAAGAGCTTTGCTCAAGTTATTCTGTTCCTATACACAAAACTCAACATTTCTTATATGGAACTGTTTTTTAATACAAACGTTATATAATGTCGGTAAAAGGTGAGTTGATATACATGTACTCTACAGTTACACGGCCACTCCCACTTTCATTCATATGAACTCTCATCATACCTTGTAACCAGTCCACTCCCTCCTGTAAACCTTCTCCTTTCAGAGCATCGGTGGCACTGAAACATATCAACACATCATATTAAAAAATGCAAAACACCGTGACATCCTGGCATACTAGAATGGAAATAAGTGTGCTTGAATGTTCATACCAGATGTGCCAGGGTTTGTCTTTCATGTTCTCCAAACAGAGCAGCTGTGAGACCTTGACAGAAGACAGAGCATCCCTGACATCCATCTTGTTAGCAAAGAACAGGATGGGGATCCTCCTGTGCTTAATATCTGCAGTGAGCGTGAGAGGGTGATGTAGGAAAGTAGTAAGGTCATTAAGTTCTACTAATGAGGAACAATATTGCGCAACCCAAAAAACTTTTTAAAAAGTGGATTTGGCAAAAACAAAATGTTTGCTCATTTAAAAAAAAAAAAAAAAAAGATACAACAGTAAAACACTTTATTTAGAATTTAAACGCAAGTTCAAAAATCATCCTAAATGTACATGAACATACCAGAGTGGTTTAGTAATGTGTCCAGTTCTTCCTTGGCTACTACCATCCTCAGTTTGTCTGCACTATCAATGACAAATATGATAGCCTGGCCTTCCCTGAGAAGTACAAAGTGATCACAGAAATGAATATGCATAGCATATCAAACGGCAAATAGGACTGGTGCTTTTGTAGCACTGGCACACTCACTTGTAGTAGTGCTCCCAAAGGTTTCTGTATCTGCCTTGACCAGACATGTCAAACACTGTGAAGGAAAGACTACAAAAACAGAAGAGAGAAAACTTTTTTTATAGGGTTTTTAAAAAAACGTCATATATCCGAATAGCGCCAAGATTATATGAATTTACTTTAGACAGAAATATGCAACTATTAGAAGATGACTTCACATTTATTGAGCTACAGATTGTGTTAACTTAAGTTGTTGATTTGAACAGATACCTGGATGTCTTGAACTTCTCTATGCTGAAGCCAATGGTTGGGACGATGTCTTGCGCCTGAGCCTGGAGGACGAATGTAGCATGTTGTAAATAAATATACACGAATATCACATGAGTGACAGTGAATAACGTTTTTTTGTCAAAAACTCATTTCTACCATAGTCCTAAATGTGTAACATCACTATAAAGACGTTGTAAAACATTGGGTAGACTTACATTAGAGGGCTTTAGTTGGTTGATGATTGTGGTTTTTCCACTGTTGTCCAAACCAAGACACAGCACGTTCACCTCCTTCTTCAACCCCAGCCATCCGGCCAACTTGTCAAACAGCCCCATCAGCTGCCTGTCTGATCTACAAGAAAGAGGCCATAAACACTCTAAAAGCTAGATGGTAACAGAATCCTTTGCAGTTCAGCTGTTATCATCGGCAGTTACCAGACGCTGCCCTTCCACACTGATTTTAAGTCTGACTTCTTGCTCTCGGTAAAAGGTGCGTCTGCGCTGACTTCAACCTGGTGTGCAGTTATCAGTGAATTTACTCTTGTTTTGATTGGGAAACGAATTGCCCTTTCTATTGCGTTACCTTTTTCAATGGTAACTAACGTTTTCCCTGAGACCATTTAGCTAGCATAGTTAATTAGCATAACATCGACCTTTCCCTAGCAAAACATTTAACGTAAACTAAATGTTTACGTGAAGAGAAGTTCGTGTTTTTTAGCTACAGAGCAACGGCTCATTGCACCTATCAACACATACCGTTAGCTAACCGTTAGCTTAAGCTAACGTGTTCAGAGGTCTCTAACGTAATTAGTTAACATTCGCTAACAGCTATTTAACTAGTTAATCTCTTGTTGTTACTGTTGCTAGCTAGCCTTAGCTAACGTTTAGCCGCTGGGATAACGTTAATTACTTCAGCTTGCTAGGTTTACATGGGGAGTAACTTTAACTATCTAGCTAACCCTGGACAATTTCTTTGCAGTATGTTGTATCTCCAATTTTACAAGACAGTCCCAACATGAGAAAGCATAAAGTAAGCTAACGCGTAACATATTTGTAACCTAACTTAGCTAGCTTGACGTTACAGCGTTAGCTATAGTTGGAGCTAACACGACAGCTTGCATTATCCTTTTCCAAACTGTTTTGTAGTGCAAGATTGTACCTGTTATTTAGCGTTGAGATCTTGCTTTCACGATTAACTTCACGCTCCCTTAAGCTAGCTCATTAAATGACCTGGGTCAAACCATTTCATTCATTTCTCTGATGCTCTCAAGCCAACAGACGCTACACTGAGTTATTTACACTGTGTTGCTGGGAAACCAGTGAGCTGACTCAAGCCTGCCCCCTGCAGGCCAAACAAGAGTGCCTCCTACCTTGTAACGTTACTGTTAAAAAAGCGGAGTTTATGAATTGAAAATAGACTGTTTTTACCCTTTTCTGCTTTCGTTTTATAACTGCAATTTCATTTATAGTTTATTTATGTGAGTTCCTATTGAGAATTATTGTAAAAAATGGGACAATAACTTGAAAAACTTATGCCTTTTGTAAAAAAAGGGGAAAAAAAGCAGTATAGCATGTCAAATCTAAACAATACACATTTTGCCACTTTCCTTAGCGCTGTAAGGTCTGTATGTCTTTCATTTATAACCTACCATAAGCACCCATTTGACAAACTCACCTGACAATTCTTCATGTCCAGAAAACATGTCAGTTTCTCGAGTGACATTTAAGAGGACACTGTTGCATGCATGTGTTTGAGACAGGGTGCATCCATGGATACGTGTGTGTGTGTGTGTGTGTGTTTGTTAATCTGCTCAAGCAATTAACTGGTAGATGTTTAAGCTTGTGCTGGTTAAAGTTTTAAAATAGGGTTGTTTATTAAGGAACAAACATACTGAATAAAACATACAATTTTCACAAGACTTTTTGTACAAGACATACTGCATTATCATGAGGATAGAACATATATTTCTACAAAATCTTTGACATTCAGCGGTCTTCAGTTCAAAAAACATGATTGTATTTACCAGTCTGTCAATCTTTATTCCTGGTGAATTGTTTCATTATCCAGCTGGAAAGGTTGTAATTGAAATCGCATACTGTACCATTCATTACCATATACCCTCTATTCTATCCACTTCTTCTCTGGTCATGAGGTAACTGACTTGAGACCATTCAAAGTCAATAGAAACCATTGGATTGTCAGTTGGAAAGAGAAGAGGTATTGGTGAACACTTGAATAGACACTAGAGTAAAGAATCTCAGAATTCAAGTGAATGCTAGCAGTTGCTGAAATAATTAAGAGACGGCATTTGGCCAACACTGACAGAGGTTGGTTGTTGTGGAGGCTGTCGTGACGATGATCCATAAGATGATGAGTGTGTATTACCTAGACCACATGTGTGTCTAGCAGCGGCCCGCTCCCACATGAGCAGCGCGTGGTAGCTGTTACACCTAACAGTCTGGTGTTTGTCCGATTAATTGAATGACGATGCCAAGGAAGTCTGGTCTGCTTCCGGCTCAGTGAGAACACACAGTCTGTCTTTGTGTGACGGTCTCATACTTGAAAGCCACTCTGTTGGATGTGGTGAAGCTGCAGGCGAAGTGACTGTATGCTGCTTATGATTCTCCTCTGGTGGCCAATCAAACAGATCCCGATACGCCTGATGTCACTGAAGGGGAGAAGATTGAATAAATAGTTACACAAGAACAGCCAACCTATTTGTACATCATGACAAACATGCAATAAAGTTAATAATCTGCACATTGGGAAAACTTGATAATATGAGCAATAACCATATTTAGAATAGAATGACAAAATACTGTAATACTGGTATTAGCAGTAATAATATAGTTTTACATACATACGCATACTGTACAGATCATTTCTTGCTTGATGATGGAATCACAAGTACAATTCCACATTTTTTTCTGTTCCTTTGATGCTTTGTTTCCTTTTAGAGCACTCCTTTCTACTACAGCTGCACTCTGTTTAATTTGGCTTCACTCACTCTATACTCATTGTTGAAATGGAATCCAGTGTTGTGTATCCTGCTGCAAGGAAGTTGTTCTTATACTGGCTCATTTTGATGGAGTCCAGCCAGTCGCCGATAGAGATGAAAAGAGGGTAGTCTGGCATGTCCTCTGGCGAGTCAGGGAAACTGACATGACAAACGGAAAGTTAAGGAATACAAAGAGACAAGTTAAGCTGAATAATAAATATTCTTTAAATTACCATGTCAGTGGTTTAGATCTACAAACTGTGTAGACCCTATATTATCACTTATCATTTCCCAATACATACCTTAACCTGCCTTACACGTAAGTAATCAGTCACAGTCATTATTACAACTTTATTGATTTTGACCCTGACTTATTATTGTCCGGTGATATCGCTGTACCACATTTACAAAATCCTTTTCAAAATTTCCCCGCTTGCTTGATGTTTGTCCCCTGGGTTTGATATTCTTACAGATAACACGTGAATACGATGCTTTGGGAGCTCTAACATTACATTTTGAAGCGTCTCACAAGCACCTGAACGCAACTACAAGTGTTTTTCAGTCTCATATTTGAATTGCATTACCAAGCATTGATAAAATCTAAGCTAAATAAATATTTACCAACCATATGGCAAACAAGTTTTAAGTCTGTGCAAGGTGATTATCATTCCCTACTGAAATTGCAAGAAATGAGAATAAAAGAGTACAGTATGCTTAGATATTGACATAAAGTTTACACATCTTATAGTTAGTGGACTAAAGAATGCAAAACCACCAGTATGGTCCTTTCACCAAGTGTCTGTATGTATTGATAGTTACCTCTGCACATCATTCACCAGAGTGAGCAGACCACTGGGATTAACTATGAGTTTGTCCAGAAAAGAGAGCACATTGTTGAAGCGTGGGCGCTGGTTAGACTCCTTCTGCCAGCAGTGCAACATCAGCTGGTGCAGTGTCACAGGGCAGCCCATTGGTGCTGGTAGACGGTAGCCTTCGTCAATTGATAAAATGACCTGCGATGAAGTTAATGACAAGTGTTTTTTTTGTGTGTGTTGATTATGCTTTAGTGGTTATGGAGTTTTAATATGATCGGTAGCTTACATCTTGATTGGACATCTCCCAGTAGGGCCTCTCACCATATGACATCACTTCCCACATGACAATGCCGTAGCTCCACACATCGCTGACTGTGGAAAATTTTCCATAAGCGATAGCCTCTGGTGCTGTCCAGCGTATTGGTATCTTTCCTCCCTGACACAAAAACAATAACACAGAACAAGCCACTGTAATATATGTCAGATTGTAATATCCTGCAGTAACTGTTAGATCCACACTCACTGTCGCAGTGTAGGCTGCTTCAGTGTCATCTTCAAGGACTCTGGACATGCCAAAATCAGACACCTTACACACCAAGTTTTCATCCACCAAGATGTTGCGAGCAGCTAGGTCTCTGTGAACGTAACCCATATCTGAAAGATAGGTCATGCCCACTACGATGCCGCGCAGCATGCCGACTAGCTGGAGCACTGTAAACTGCCCATCACGTGTCTGGAGTGGTTGTGAGAGAGAAAGAAAGAAAGAAAGGGGGAGAGGGAGAGAGAGAGAGAGAGAGAGAGAGAGAGAGGACAAATGTGACATACGGGGGACAACAATTACTCAGGAAACGTGTGCACATCTGTGACCATGTATTCCTCTCACCCGGAGGAAAGAATCAAGCGCTCCATTTTCCATGTACTCAACGACTATCATTACTGGTCTGCCTGAGGAAAAGGTAAACGACAGGATTTTAGTGACAAAAAGTGAAGACTAAAGTAAAACTGATGCTGAAGAAGAGAACATTTAAAGAAAGAAAAAACACACAGCCAGAGAGATACACATAGAAAGCTTACTCCTAGTGACCACTCCTTCCAGCCTGATGATGTTGGGGTTGTCAAACTGTCCCATGATTGAAGCCTCACGTAAGAAGTCTCGCCTCTGTTGTTCCATATAGCCGCCTTTAAATGTCTTTATTGCCGCAGCGATGTCCATCCTTCCAGGTATGCGCAACCGACCACAACAGACTTCTCCAAATTCACCTGTCAGAACAACCCAATACATAAAAGGGTGCACTCTCATATAGCATAAGACTTTACTGGAACTCAATGAAATAATGAAAACAATACATATATTCAGTAACTGCGTCCTACATAATTTATTATTATTTTGTGTTCTTTGTAAAGTATACACGTATGTTTTTGCTTTCATGGAGTCAGGTGAAATAAACATTAACTGATTAAAACTTGTAATTGAAACAAGAGAGAAATGTGGAAACACTAGCAATCAGCAGTTGCTTTGCCATTTACACATCTGTACACACTGCCTCCACCAGATGGAGCCCATGTTACAGAAACTAAACAGATGGAAGGCACCTTCATAATTACTCATGGGCTAAATAGCAGACACAATCTGTTCGATTTAATGAACCATCGAACATTCACAGTCAGCAGCGCTGGCTTTGCTCCCCTAAAGTACAATACTATAAACTACTTTAACATCAGCTTGCTAAGAGTGGCTGTAAAAGTTTTAAATTCAAACTTTATGAGCTTTAACATTTCTTATAAAATAAAAATATTACTCAACATTAAATGTGACCATTTCTCTATTGCAGGTGCTAGTCAACGGTCGTTGAGACATTTTCTTTACAATATTAATATGTAACCCTGAATATGAATCTAGAAAAATAACCTTTTTTTCTGGTTACCAGTCATGTATTATACAAATTTATGTTTTCCTCTTGTACACAGTTGACGCCTGTGCTGCGCCTGCCAGCAAACGCATGTACAGTATAACATATGAGTCAATGCCTGTATACATTTGTGTATGTAGAGTATTACCATGTGTACCATATATGTATCTGTTTTACCTGCACCAATCACCCTCTCGATGCATATGTATGAGGGGTCGATCTCTTTGGCAAATTCCTCCACAGCCTGAGTGGGGTCTTCATACGTGTCTGGATCCACATAGGTCTTTATCCCAGAGAATGGGACTGGAAGAGGAAAATAAATTACAATTTCAATATTTTTCATATTACATTGGAACATGGAACATGGAACATTGACACACACACACACACACACACACACACACACACACACACACACACACACACACACACACACACA